TCTCTCTTTCTTTCCCTCCCCCTCTCTCCCTCCCCCCTCTCTTTCCTCTCCCTCTCTCTCTTTCTCTCTCTCTTTCCTCTTTCTTTCCTCTCTCTCTCTCTCTCTTTCTCTCTCTCTCTCTTTCCTCTCTCTCTCTCTTTCTCTCTCTCTTTCCTCTCTCTTTCCTCTCTCTTTCCTCTCTTTCTCTCTCTCTCTCTCTCTCTCTCTCTTTCCTCTCTCTTTCCTCTCTCTCTCTCTCTCTTTCTCTCTCTCTCTCTTTCTCTCTCTCTCTTTCCTCTCTCTCTTTCTCTCCCTCCCTCTCCCCCTCTCCCTCCCTCCCTCTCTCTCTCTCTCTCTCTCTCTCTCTCTCTCTCTCTTTCTCTCTCTCTCTCTCTCTCTCTCTTTTCCAATAATGAGTCAGCTTGCATGACATTCTAGTGATGTGATCAGAAATGATGCTGCCATAATCAGAATTTGAAAGGCTTCACCCACTCAAACCTTTTTTTTTGAGGGAATGCTTTATAGGCATTTGTTTCTATTTCTATCTTACAAGGGGAAAGGGGCAATCAACTTCCTGGTAAACTGTTTAGAATATAATTAGGCTAACCAAGGCAGGAATTTAAACTCAGCCAATCTTGGGACTGTTTGAGGTTGTAACTAGCCTCCTCTGGATCTAGTAGTAGAAGTTGTTTGAATTTGTCTTTAAAATCAAACAGCAAGTGTAATAGTTTCTATACCACCCTGTAGCACTTTACAGCACTTTCTGGGTAGTTTACAATTGCATATTGCCCCCAACAATCTGGATCCTCATTTTACCCAGGATGGAAGGATGGAAGGCTGAGTCAATCTTGAGGCCTGTCAGGGTCAAACTCCAGCCTGTGGGCAGAGTTTGCCTGCCTTATTGCACTTTAACCACTGTGCCACCGGGGCAAAACAAAATGCTCAAGAATTTTCTGGCTCCTGCTCACTCCAATGACTTCACCACTCTCTCCTACACCAACAGATCAATAAAGAGTGAAACACACACACAAACACACTCATACAGTTCTTCTAATGCTGTTCCATTTCGTCCCCTGGGGATCAATTGTCTCCCTTTAATCTGTTTTTCTTCTAGGGTTTCTAAAAGTTGAATACCAAGAAAAGTGACTGTTGAAACATCTTTGTCCCGTCATCAGGATGTTTTGCGGCCGTATCTTCAGCGTGCTTATGGCATCTTTGAGCATCGTCTTACTTTTGATGGCACTCAGCACTGATTACTGGATAGTATCTTTTGGTCCTGTTGGGACAGCCCACAGTGGGCTGTGGCAGTTTTGCATGAACCTTGGAGCATTCAAAAGCCAATGCGAAGCTGTAAAGGAGCCCTTTGGTAAGATTTATGGCAGGAAGGCCTTCCATTTTTTTTCTACGTATTCCCAATAAGGGGCATCAGCAATTGTGTGTATTGTGTATTTGTCAGAGCCAGGGAAATCAGGAGATCCAGGCAGTTCAAATGGATATAAAGATTTATGGCAAGCTTAATTACAAAATCCTGAACTACTAACAGCCAAAGAAAATTGGTCATAGATAAGGGTAGAAGGAATTCAAGGTGGACTGAACTTAGATCTCTTGTGGGTGTGAAGGGACTCGTGACTGATGATGCGTTTGACTCCATCTCTCCGGCTCAACCTGGTCATCTCCTACATCATTGTGTGCATGAAATAATGTATCCCTTATTTAAAACCTTTTTACTTTGCTTCTGTTCTGACCCAGACAGAACAGATTTCTTTTAGTCCCATCCGGGACAGACAGATAACTCAGCAGAATAAGCAGAAAATATCGCTTTTATTTCTGGGAATCCTAAACAATAACTCACTGTTATGTAGAGATACGTCCAGAAGCATATTTAGCGGTATTGGTTCATTCCACAGGTAATTTGATAATGGATTTTCCCCTCTTCTTCTGCATAAGTATCACATGTTGGCATAGGACCTCCAAGCCGTGTGGCTAGGAGACATGAGGCTGGATGAAACAAAGGAACCTTTCCCAACAGGCTTGTGGCTAGGAAATCCTGTAATAAACTTTGGTGGCTCCTCCCACTGACCTACTAACATGATATAACTGACTAGCTAAAACTACATTACCCATAAGCCATCTCTTAAGGAGACAGCACTTAACCCAATAAATGCCAAACATTCTTATGTACAGATCTACATGTTCTGGTCCAGAACAGCTTCTCCTCCACAAATAAGTGAAAACATCACTTTGTGGAAAACCACAATTCATCGCATCTTAAAACACACCCCGATTTCAAAAATAGCAAGGATGACGATAACATTCGGCAGGGCAGACCGCCTAGCTTCATGTTCTTGTACTGATTGCATTCATATACTGCCAGATCAATGACAGATTTGAAGTGATTTACAAAACTCTCAATGCTACAAACATAAACGAAGTTAAAACATCCATGGTGAATGAAAAATAGAAAGAAACCATTTCTAATCAGGATTAGAAAAATGCACTAATAGTGAAAACAGCAATGGGGAGAGACTTCTGGAACGTTAGAAGGAATGGACTTAAAGAAAGTCTTAATTCTAAGGCTAGTCCATAAGGCCAGACTGAAAAATACCGCCTTCTGGCTACTGTTCTCTTATTTGGCAGAAATAGGTATGACCCAAGGCTTCCTGCAAGGAGAATGTAGTACTGTCAAGCCATATCAGGTGGGAGAAGAGAGTCCTAGGCACCAAACCATATAGAATTTTATAGACCAAAACCAGCACTCTTGAACTGCAATGAGAAATCTCCTGGTAATCCTGGTAATCTCCTGTCCAGTCATGTCTGACTCTGGGGCGCATTGCTCATCTCTGTTTCTTAGCCAACTGAGCCAGCGTTGTCCAAAGACATTTCCACGGTCATGTGGCCAGCAACTCTTGTTTCTGGGTTACCAGTCTTCAAACTCAGGCCCACAGGGAGTGAACTGCAGTACTCTAGTGGCAAAGTGATAAGGCCACGAGCCCATGTTGATGGCTCCCTTTCTGGAGGATAGTTAGAAAGTTTTCTGAACAAAGAGTGAGGATGCTCTGATATATTGAAAGGCAGTTTGGCGTTAAGATGTAGGCCTAGAAACCGGGAGACAATGAGTTCAATAGGATAGAATCTTTATTGTCATTGTGTAACCCACAATGAAATTAAGTGCACACTACACATAAGTAAAAACCACAAATAAGAACATACATTATATACACACATCCTTCACATTCTATTCACCATTGCGCTGCTCCTAATATTGCACTAATATCTAGTCCCACATTAGGGATAAAAGCTGGCAAGGTGACTTTGGCTCAATCACTCCCTCTCAGCCAAACCTACCTCACAGGATTGTTGTTGTGAAGGAAATCGAAGGGGGAAGGTGTATTATGTATGGTCACCACCTTGAGGTACTAATAAAGTAATAAAGGCATGATAAAAATCTAGTAAGCAAACAAAACAAGTATTACTGCAATAAGGATTAAAAATAGACATAACCTTCTGCATCTACAACTTTGCTTGCAGGCTACATCACAGCTACCCGTGTGTTTCTGATTTTGGCTTCCCTGGCAGCTCTGGCATTACACTTCTTTCTGATTGCTGCCTTCGTGCCGTCCATGTTTGGCATCCTGGGAAAGCCCTTGGTTGCTTCCGTGGCTGCCTATGTGGCCGGTAGGTGTTACCAAAGATGAAGAGGAGAAGTCTCCAGTAAGGGGGAGGGTGATCTCAAAGAGAATGCAAGATATCCCCTCCTGGGGGTGTGTGAATCTAGGGAGGTTCAAAGGTTTTTCCATGAGGCTTCAACTGTCTTCTCAAACAATCAGTGCTCAGTTGGTAACAGAGCGGATATCATGGCCCCAAATACAAAACAGCCAGAAGCAATTCTGGAAAGCTGCAACTTAAGAGAAAACCTCCAAAAACTAGGAAACTCCTAGAGGATGTTAATAATGGGTTTGGTGGACTTCACCTGCTAAGGTTTTCCAGAGAATGACCACTCAGGAAAATGTCTTCTTTTAATTCAGAGGTCACCAACCTTTTCATTCTGGTGGCCCGGAGGGAAAGGGAACAGCTGGGAAACTTCTGTGTGCGCGCACACGTGCACACAAACAGGGCTGTGCTTACCTGCATGGCGCTAGTGCTATTTGCACAAGCACTAGCAGCCGCCACAGCTGCTACCACCCGTGTGCATGAGCAAATGGGCCATGCAACCCGTACAGCGCTAGTGGCCCTGTTTGCACAGGCACACAGGTGCTGCCGCTAACCCTGCACACATGCACAAATGGGCTGTGCAACCTGCATGCACGGTAGCGGCACTGTTTGCGTGGTGCACAAGCACTAGCCACTGCTGCTAGCCTTGTGCGCATATGCAAATGGGTCCACAGGCACTAGTGCGAGTGGGGGTGAATGTGCATGAACTATCCCGCCTGTCCTGCAGCTCGGTGGCCAGTAGACCGCGGCCCATAGGTTGGGGACCCTTGCCTTAATCCATCAGACCAAACTGCTGTCCAAAGTGAGCAAACAAAGAATATCTGTTGCAGATCCCAAAATGGAAAGGGCCACAGGAAGTCAAGAATCTTTGCCTGATATAGGTAGTCCTTGACTTACGGCCACATTTGGGACTAACTGATGCAGTGATTGAGTCACAGCTTTTTTTGCCATGATTGTTAATCAAATCATATGGTTGTTAAGTGAATTCAGCTCCCCCACTGCCAAATTGACTTTGCTTGTTGGACCCTGGCTGGGAAGCTCTCGGATGGTGATCATGTGATCCCTCCCCAGGATGCCGCAACCATCGTAAATAGATGCCAAGTGCCTGAATTGTGATCATGTGACGATGGGGACACTGCAATGGTTGTGTGAGGACTGAGGTCGCTTTTTTTCAAAGCTGCTGTAACTTTGAACAGTCATTAAAGGAATGGTCGTAAATCAAGGACTACTTGTATATCCTTTAGGATGTTTACCTGATGAAGGTGAAACTGGTTTCACAAACATGATTTATTCCTTTCAAAAATCTTCAGGCGCTTAAAATGAAAGCAGACATACAAAAGAGCTTTCAGAGAATGGTGATTACAATCCCATGGTTACGTTCATATAATATGTTTAATCAGGGAAGGGCTAGAAATGCATCTGCACAACCTTCTATGCTTAGTTAGTTGAAAACACGGTTTTCTATGGTTTAGCATGTTGTATAAACTCAGCAGTAGTTATATTTGCAGCCCACTGGGTTAGTCCATGATTCAGCGGTGTATGCAAACTCAGGAAATGGGTTGAGTCAGGCTAAGGGTGACGTGTGAATGCAGCCAAGGTGTGAATTCAGGACTTTAAAAGTTTGTGTCCACAGGATGCAAACATTTCCTGCACAATGTACCCTATGTGCAAACCAAAGAGGGAGTTAAAAACCTCACGGGTGAATCAGCACAGAGCTGTGTTAACCAGCACTGATCTTCTCTCTGCTTTTTGAAAGGATTCTTCACTCTAATAGCCCTCGCTGTGTATACAGCCGAAACATGGCAGGAGAAGCCACCATCTCAAATCCAGGTCTCCTTTGCATGGTCTTTCTACTCTGGATGGATTGCTTTCCCCCTGTTTCTCTTGGCTGGTGAGTCTGCAGCAATGTTTCTGAAACTCTTGACACTTTAATCCATAGACTGGTGCTTCTCAGGTCTGACCAAGTTTAAGATGCCTGGGCTTCCATTCCCAGCCCGATGGGTGGGGAATTCTGGTCGTTGAAGCCCACACAACTTAAAAGCGGCCACTGTTATGTTTGGTGCTCGGTGAGGAATCGACGAGGCAGCAGGTGAACAAACAATTCTTTATTTAAGGATTAAACAGAAGCCTGAATAACTGCCGCTCCACCCCTATTTATACACTCAGCAACTAGGCGGCGGCCAATAGGATTCAAGTATTAGTTCCCACCTTTAACACAAGTAATTAGCATGTAGACAGAAAGTCTGGCTCTTAACTGACAGAGTCTTATGACCATTTTTCAACATTTACAAGCAATTCACCTCAATACATTACAGCCACGTTCAAGAAGCACTAGTCTATGTTATTATACTATCCAACCTCCAACAATTCTGGAAAGTTCACAGATGACAATATTCAGAGTCATAAAATAATCCAAAGATTTTTTTTTTTAAAAAAAGCAATATATTATCGCAGCAGTCCCCAACCTTTTTTACCCCAGGGACCAGTTTCCGGAAAAGACAATTTTTCTACGGACTTGGTGAGGGTGGAGGGGGATGGTTTTGCATGCTACCTAGATCCTGTGTACAGGCAGATGCAACTTTCCTCACTTCTGCGGTCCATTTCCTAACAGTACTGATCTGCAGCTCAAGGGCTGGGGACCCCTGCATTATAGAACAAATACAGGGAACAGAGGATATTTTTAAACATTTAGTTGGTTTGAGCTCCCACAGAAAATGCCCCTTTTCCATTAATCCAATGGATTCCTGCCTTAGAAAAGCACATAATCAAGAGACTAGAGCAGAGGTAGGCAACCTTGGCTCTTTTATGACTCGTGGACTTCAACTCCCAGAATTCCCGAGCCAGCATGGCTCAGCTTGGAAACCTCTCCCTTTCCCCTCAGCACGGCTGGCTCAGGAATTCTGGGAGTTGAAGTCCACGAGTCATAAAAGAGCCAAGGTTGCCTACCCCTGGACTAGAGCATTTACATAAAACCAGAAGCATTTCTCTTCAGAAAAAATGGCACTCTCCAGCCATTTTTATTTTTTTAAAAAAAAAACACTTTTTGCATTCAGTGGAAAAGAAGAATAATATATTTATAAGATGCCTGGTTATTTTTGCACATGCTCAACCCAACACAACCTTAGAAGAACAGTTGTTCATAAACAGTTACGCCTGGGCGATCTAAGATTGGTTTTAGCACCTCAAGCTAACCTTCTTGGTCCTTTACTTGCTCTTGTTCTCTCACCTTGCAGGTGCTTTCAACCACATTGCCTCCTTGAACGCTCCATCTGCTAGCTATGAAAGGATATGAAAGTCCCGGTCAACAAGAGAGCAAGCACAATTGTACAGAAGCTTTTTCTTAACAAGAAGGTGCCTCATCCCTACTTCTTCTGGACCAATGCATCTCCCCATCTCCAATGCATTGCTCAGCTGTACCGTTTTTGTGTTTTGTTTTTTGCTCACTTTCCAAAATGATTATCTTGTGTTTTATGGAGATTTGGGTGACTAGGAGTAATTTTTATAATTAGTTTGCTTGCCAAGTAAGATGTGTTGGCAAAATTATGATTTCAAGTGGCAAAATTTCCAGTGGTTTTTAAGAGATCCGCTAGGCCTCTGTTAATCTGAAAGGATTTATTTCTCCTGATCTTCACCTTTTAAAAAAAGCTACAATTTTCAGCCCCTTTTCCTTATGTTGTATTATTACTTTGCCATTTTCTAAAGGTTTTGTACTCTGTTTTTAGGATTGTGCCCCTGGACAACAGCTTCCGTAAAACCTTTCTCTATCGTTGGTTGTTTTGCTGTTTTGTGATTCAAAAAACATCCCAAAGGTAGACAATATTTTACAAAAATGCTCAGGTCCTTAGGTAGAACCCAGAATACTGGTTCCCAAAGTATAATCCACAGTAGTCACTCAAATGCAAATTAGGTTACTTTTAGGGGAGAGAGTTATTAATACCATCACTCAAAGGAAAATATTTTGTCCTTCTAAAACTTGACAGAGTGGTGAGACTCTATCTTCTAGGGCAGTGGTGGCGAACCTATGGCATGGGTGCCAGAGGCGGCACTCAGAGTCCTCTCTGTGGGCACACACGCCATCGCCCCAGTCCTAGGCCTTCAGCTGGGCTTTATAAAACCTTTTTGTTTTAGGCCACCGCTGCCGTGTGCAAAAAAAAAAAAGATTCAAACAATCAGTCAATTTCAACTTCTTGCGGGAAAAAAAAAGATCTTGCAAAGTTGGAATTGATTGATTGAACTTTTTAGTTCCACCCAGTCTGCCATTACCACTACAGCCACGCCCACCCAATTGGCCACACCCCAATGGGCCATACCCAGCCAATGGGCCACACCCACCCGGCACCCCACGATGCATAAGTGGGTTTTGAGTTGCAGTTTGGGCACTCGGTCTCTAAAAGGTTCGCCATCACTGTTCTAGGGAATTTTGGGAGTTGAAATCCATGTCTTAGAAGTTGTAAAGATTAAGAAACATTGCTTTTAATACCTTGTGAATCCTCTTTAGTATTACAAAAGCTGGATTACTAGTCCTTTTCTTCTGGAATTACCATCCTCTGCTCACTCACTTTTCAAGAGGTATCCAATCACTTCATTTGCAAACTATTCCATTCCAATGTATTCTGATTTATGGGTGTTTTTTTTTAAAAAATGAATACAATAGCCATGTTCAGGTTGCCTAAGATTGACTTTTAGATGTTGTTCTGGTATCTTGAATTAAATAATGCCTCTGTACAAGTTCTGCCTTTTATTTTTTTACCTGTTGGACAACCCATTGCAACAATTAGTGTGCAATAAGATAAAGTATGGAAGAGCTACCCTTAGAGGCTTAGAATTCTACTTTTGAGTCCATGGGAGTAAGTAAGCAACAATGAATTGTGTGAGATTTCCTTGTAAGCAAAGATAGGAATACCAGAAGCTTTTTTTTCTGATTTAATCATTACCAATGCAAGAAGATCTGTATGCAAGTAATAAAGCAACCAGTCCATTACACAAGAATGCACTGGGCTGGGGAAGAAATAGCAATAGCACCTTAGACTTGTTAATTGCAAAGTCGCGTCCGACCCATCGCGACCCCATGGACAACGCTCCTCCAGGCTTAGACTTATATACCACTTATATACTGCTTTATAGCCCTCTCTAAGTGGTTTACAGAGTCTGCATACTCTCACTTCTGCTAATCTGGAGCTGCAGAGTTTTGTAGTCACTTTAGTGGGCTCCCATAGTGCCCACCGGAGGGATCAAACAAATCCATCTGACAAGAGAAGCACTGCATGTGAGGAAGACACACCACCATGATGCATCTTTTACACTGCACGCACATCCCAAAGGAGTCAGTTTGCAATGCCATAGGGCAACGGGGCTGTCATTGTGGCAAAACAGCTGGAGCCATGGATGCCCATGCCGGGCTGATGTCCAATGGAAGGAGCATGCTAACTGAGCTTCTTCAGAACTTCCAGAACACTGGGGTTACCATGGAAACCTTGTCCTGCTTTGCTACTGTACATTTCTCAAGAAAGCTTCTGAGTGAAAACTTTGTCATCTAAAAGACACAGTCACTCCGGTGGGGTTGTGGGTGTTACACGGTTCATCCACAAGGAAGTATCCCCCCCCCCCGAGGTTCGGAAGGGAGCGCCTTTGGTCTCGCTGTTTCCATTGACCCACCATTATGAACCGCTACAAGGAGTCCCTTTCCAAGTGGCCCGTCATTGTGTGGTTCAAGAACTTGAAGGCCCATGATTGGGTCCGTCTGGGTGGGATCTTCTTCTCTTGCGTAGCTACTTGCCTGCTGATGATAGCCATCTGCACGGAGTACTGGGTCAAAAGATTTGTCCGAGGCATTTTTGTCTACCGGGGATTATGGACAGACTGCCAGCTAGGGGAATGCTCCCTTCTGCAAGAAATACCATGTAAGGGCTATGGAATCTTCAGAACTTTGAATGCGCCACTGCTATAAAAGTCCAGGTTGCACCACTATTGGTTTGAGCAGGCCGTGTTCAGGGTGTTCCCTGTGCCCCTTCTCCTCTCTGGACCACTCCCCCATCTGCCCTTATTCTTTCACTCAGCAATGGAAAAGGAACGACACCACCTTGCCTCAGAGCTAGCAGAAAGAACGTGTAGCCAGACAAATGGGCAGGACTCCTTCAAGCCAGCCACTCCAGGTTTAATAAATCACTTGAAATAACCTCCCAGGTTTTTTAGGAGGGGTTTGCTGGTGATAAAAAGATGGAAAAATAGTTTCAGAGAAACAGATGGAACTAATCCAACTCATTGTTGGTTTGGACTGAGGGGGGCAGGTACATCTTGTAAATCAATATACAGGTGATCCTCAACTTACAACCAAAATGGGGACCCAAAGTTCTATCGCTAAGTGATGCAGTTGTTAAGTGAGTTGCACCTGATTTTAGTACCTATTTTCCCATGGTTGTTAAGCAAATGACTCGGTTGTTAAGCAAAACAGGCTTCCCCCGTTGACTTTTGCTTGTTGGAAATGCAAGATTGAAAATCATGTGATCCTGAGACACTGAGACCATCATAAATACTTGCTAGCTGCCAAGTGTCAGATTTTTGACCATGTGACCATGGGGACGCTATGACTTTTTCAGTGCTGTTGTCGTTTTGAATGTTTGTTAAATGAATGGTCGTAAGTTGAGGACTCCTTATAACTGCAGTAAAAGCGTTGGGCCTGGAGCACAGAGATCCAGGCTCGTGTTCTCCGTACCTAATGGAGTTTAATGGGCAACATTGGTCTCATCCATCTTTTTCAATCCACTCTACCTTAGAAAATTGTTGTTTCGGGGATATAATTAGGAGAATTGTCCCCTCTCTCCAAAGACACCCACCAGATGGCAGAGAATCACAATAAATAAATATATCCGTAAAAAGCAGGAATTAGAAGCAGTCAGATATGGCTGGGACGGGGGGGATGGGCAAAAGATAGATGCTTGCCTTGTTCAATGATATCAGAAGTGGAATCCGATTACTCAAGCTTCCTGCTTTTCAGAACAAGAACTTTTAAACAAAAATTTATGCAGTCACTTGCTTTTTCAACATGTTGCTAGACTCTGGCATAGAGACACAGCTCCCACAACCTTCATCTCACGCTTATAGTCTACAGCTTCTGGTTCCTCCATTGTTAGACACACTGCATCTGCAACAGGGAGGCCCAACAACTGCCAGGTTCTGATAAGAAAGAGAGCAGCTAGGACACTGAAAGAATATGGAAGGTGATCCGACAGCACCGTTCTTTCTTCCTTGGATGAACGCTGAAGAAACAATATCAGCGGTACTGTACGTTCTCAAAGTACACCTACTGAATAGATAGGCAGAAGGTACCAACTACGTCTAATGCCACTCACATTCCCATCTGGCAAATCTCTGCAATTGTTTCAAAGGATACACCTATACGTAACCATGTAGCAATCAGTTATTCTGACATTTCAAATTAGGAGCAGAATAAGGCTCAGCCCATGTTTAGTTTGCTGGTGACATAAGCCAGAAAAAAAAAAACCCAGTATGTTTGATTTGTGTTTATTAGAAGAGGTGAACCAGAAACCCAGTACGTTTGTTCTTAAAGTCCTAAACTTGCTGATAATCAGTTCATACAACATTTATAGCCCTGCCTATTTCTCCATGAGTCTTTATCTCCATCTGCTGGTTAACTGTTAACATTTAAGTAAGGAAGCATTAGGAATTCATTCTGCAACTTTTGCTGGTGACTGTTCTAGAGGTCCCTATTTTTGAACCAGAAGTGTTAGCAGCAAACTGAGATTACTTCTAAATGAAACAGATGTGGACATCGTGGCACAATCCCCATCCTTATATCCTGACCTCTGACACAAGTACACAAATCACAGCTTTAGCGTTATGATCTCCCAAACTACATTTCATCATCTGTATGCCCAGGGAGGACTTGAACCTGAGCCCCCTCAGTCGCAGCAACTCTTCGCCATACACATTCTCTTCTGGGAAGCTTTCAAAAGAGCAGCAGGAATCATCCAGCATTACTTAAAAACTTCCAAGTAAGGTTTCTATTTGGCCTAGAAATCCTCATTTGCAGCATTTCTGCAGACAAGAGGAATTAAATTGATGTTCAGGCTATAAGCTAACGGAATAAAGGCTGTGGGTGCTCCATCACTGGAGGTTTTTAAGAAGAGACTGGACAACCATTTGTCTGGAATGGCATAGGGTTTCCCGTTTGAGCAGGGGGTTGGACTAGAAGACCTCCAAGATCCCTTCCCACTCTGTTATTCTGTTAATCAGGTTGAAAGCTGCAGGCCTGCCTGCAGTGATTCTAGAAGACAATCCTAGGCTGACTTTTCACAAAGTGCTTCCTCTTTCTTTTTCTCCTAGTCTATATTACCATCTCTATCATTTTGATGCTGATCTCTACTATAGCTTGCTACGGGGCCGTGATCTTCGGCACGCGTTCACTCGCTG